TGTACAGACCCTTCTCACCCCAACTTCTTAATGTCTTTTCACCTCTCGTACCATTTATCCTTGAAACAATTCAAGACGTTGACAAGTGACTAAAGAGAAAACCAGAAACTCCCCCTTTGTCAAATCTTCCTTAGTAATTATTCTCTCTTAACTTCATAAAAATATATGGTTATTAATTGCTATAGTACGATAATAAAAATATACATGAAACTAACCAACACTGGTCTTGGGCAAGTTACCAAATTTCATTATGCTTGTCTTGGTTCTCCTGGCATCTTGCCTTTCTAAAGTCTTTTTATTTTTCCTCACTACATCTTGAATTGGGTATGTCATCATAAGCTCAGCTGAAGAGGAATTCACTTGTGTCTTTCATCTGTGAACTTATCCCTGTTAGTCCTGACCAGGACAGGCAGCTTCATTTGGTGAATAAGCTGAATCTTACATTTGTCCGATTGCCTAGTGAACTGCCTTACTCTTCATGGGGTGTACCTACCACTTGCAACCTTTTTCCCAAACTTGACCTCATTGACCCAGGTCCTATAACTGGCCCTTTCTTGGAATTTCACATCTCTTTACCATGAGTTAAAACACAACCCCAGTTTGACTGACTAGACTTGAGTCATCAGAGGGCTCTCTTCTGATTAATTAGCTGAAGAACTGCTGTGAAAGGATTAATCACATACAAACAAGATGTCACCCCTTGACTAGCTTTAATTGTTATTCTTGTGACTTCTGATGCCTGGTTCTCCCTGGGATGCTCTATTGCCTGGCCTTGGCTTACTTCCCATCCCCATCAGCCAATGCTGCTAAGATCTGACCTTGCTCATGTTATGACACTAAGGCCCCCTTGTACCTGCTTAATTTGGCTCTCAAAAAAAATCTAATCTTTTCATTTATTCTCAAGGATAAGTAGTTATAGTTGTTTGAGACATCTCCATTTTAGTAAACATCAGAACTATAATTGCTATGATTCGAATATGTTCCTTAAAGTTTATGTGTTGACAAGAATAGAAAATCAAACACCTTATGTTCTCACTCATAGGCGGGTGTTGAACACATGGACACAGGGAGGGAAGCATCACACACTGGGGTCTGTTGGGGGGGAGTAGGGGAGGGACAGCGTGAGGTAGGGAGGTTGGGGAGGGTTAACATGGGGAGAAATGCCAGATATAGGTGACAAGGGATGGAGGCAGCAAACCACCCTGACATGTATGTACCTGTGCAACAATCCTATGTGTTCTGCACATGTACCCCAGAACCTAAAGTGCAATTTTATATATATATAAGATTATGTGTTGAAAACTTAATTGCCATTGCAACAGTATTAAGAAGTTAGACCTTTAAAAGGTCATTAGGTCATGAAGGCTTTGCCCTCTTGTATGGATTAATGCTGTCATCATGGGAGTGGCTCCTGATAAAATAATAAAATTTGGCCCCCATTCCTTTTCTGTCTTATGTGCTCACTTCTACCTTTTGTCCTTCTGCCATGCAGTAACACTCAACCAGATGCTGTTAGCATGTTATTGGACTTAGCAGCCTCCAGAACCATGAGCCATATAAACTTCTATTTTTTATAAATTACCAAGCCTGTGCTACTCTCTTATAACAGCAGAAATGTGCTAAGACAACCATCTAAAGGCTTGATATTCTAACTCTGGAAATTTCTAAGGCCTGGGAATAATGGCAAGAAGTCAAAAAATATACTTTACACATGAGCCAGTGAAAGACTCATCTTAAAAATGACTCATTCTTTACATTTAAGGGGATGATCAAGGGTAAATGTGCTCTGTAACTGATAAATCAGATTAAGCTATGGAGAATAAAAAATGTAATGTTTTTTAACTTTTTTCAATTGTATATTGCTGTATAAAAAAACATTCCAAAACTTAGTAGCTTAAAACAATACTATCTTATTGCTCACAGTTTTGTGGATCCAGATCTTTTTTTTTTTTTTTTTTGATATTTATTATTATTTTTTTGATACTGAGTCTCGCTCTGTCACCCAAGCTGGAGTGCAGTGGCTCACTGCAACCTTTGCCTCCCAGGTTCAAGCAAGTCTCTTGCCTCTGCCTCCTGAGTAGCTGGGATTACAAGTGCATTCCACCACAGCTAATTTTTGTATTTTTGGTAGAGATGGGATTTCACCATGTTGGTCAGACTGATCTTGAACTGCTGACCTCATTATCCACTCACCTTGACCTCTCGAAGTGCTGGGATTGCAGGCGTGAGCCACTGCGCCTGGAGGATCCAGATTTTAAGCAGCACTGACGGAGACAGCTCATCTCTTGTTCACTTGGCATTGACTGAGGTAGTTCAACTGAAGCTAAAGGAGGATCCAAGATGAACTACTTCATAGGTTGGGTCCTTGGTGTTGGATGTTGCGTGGGGCACCTCAGTTCTCTTCCACATGATATTTTTCTGCAGCAGGATATGCTGATCTTCTTAATATAATGATTGCTTTCTAAAAAAAAAAAAAACAGATTCTGCCAGCCCTCTGAAATTTTATGCCCCGTAGTAGCACAGTGTCAAATCTGTCTCATTCTATTGGTCAAAGGAAGTCACAAGCCCAGACAGAATTCAAGAGGAGGAAAAGTAGCTGCACAATGTGAAAGGAATTGCATACACTTACAGGAAATGAAGGAATTATTAATGGCTGTGTTGGCCATCTTTGCAGACAATCTTCTACAGGTACTGAGATGGTTAATTTTATGTGTCAACCTGACCTAGCACGAGATGCTTAGATAGCTGATTAAGCGTTATTTCTGGGTGTCTTTCTGTGAGGGTGTTTCTAGAAGAGATTAACATTGGAATTTTTGAGCTGAGTAAAGCAAATAGTCCTCCCCAATATCGTGGGCATCATCTGATATGTGGAGTGACTGAATAGAACAAAAAAATGGAAGAAGGTTGAATTGTCTCGCTGTTGGACAGCTTAAGTTTTAAATTAATCTTCTAACATAGGTCCTCCTCATTCTCAGCCCTTCAGTCACAGACTGGAGTCTACAATATTGGCTCTCTGGCTATCCAACCTTCAGACTGCATGACCAGCTTTCCTGGGTTTCTAGTTTGTAATCAACAGACCCTGGGACTTTTCAGTCTCCATAATCACCTGAGTTAATACCTTATATAAATATATATCTTCTTATTGGTGCTGTTTCTCTAGAGAACCCTTACTAAAATAGGCACCAAACACCTGTTTTAATAATTCACTTGTCTTTAGATCACAGCAATATCTACTCAAGAGATACAGACTCCATTTATTTCTGGCCACAGGAGGGCGGAAAAGTCAATAGGCTATTCTTTGGCCTTATTCCCAGGAAAGGAAGGTGTTGAAGAAATTCAGAGTGATCTGTATGGCCCTATCTGCTCTTTGGAATCATTTATTTCTATAGGCTATTCACTTTTAAGTTACCAATAACTGTCTAAAGCCCTCTTCTTTGCCATCATAAAATCCCAAGCTAGGGTTGAAATATTAGAAAAGAGAGCATATGTTTAAGAAATTGTTTCCAAAATGAAGACCTGCTGTTATATATCCCAAGTGATATACAAAGAACTGATTCTCAAGGTGTGACAACATTTATGTCTCACTTGTAAGTGAAGCTTTCTTTAGGATTACACTGTGTGGACTAACACTGTATTATTAGAAGGAGAAATTGTAGCAGTGAGACTTTCTTCATATTTGAAATTTTTGCCATTTTAAACTTCATGCATATCAAATTTACTTTAATCAGAGTTAAAACCATTTCACATGATGATCTTAATTTACAAGTCAACAAAACTACAAATATTTCCAATAACAGAGATTAAAAGCAATTAATTTATTTGGAAATATTTGCAATAACAGAGATTAAAAGCAATTAATTTCATTAAAAGTCAATGAACAATTTAGAAGGTGGCTCTTATTATCTCAAAGCTGGAATTTGTAAGTGCTGAGTATTAGAAGTTGTTGTGGCCATCTACTTTAAGAGAGAGAAATGTCTACAAAATGACATTTTTTTTTTGTCTACCTACAGTTGTATACTGGGCAAACCAGGAATTTCTGAATATTAAAACTGTACTATGTCAGAAAGGGAGCCAAAAAGCTCAATATCTACTAGAGATGTACAACCTTTCTTTAACAGAAGCCACCTGCTTATGAGTTTTTGATAAATAACCCACTGGCTGTAATAATAGGAGAAAAACAACGTATTTTGCCTGATTTTCTGTCATGTGTACATGGGGTCCCACTTCAATGAACTTGTTTATCTGAGTTAGACCTTTCATTTGAAATCATGGGTGCCATATTTGAACTGTCAATGGCTTCTTCATATCTTGGGACTGGAGCTGAATTAAGAGTTCTATTTTATAGGAGACTTCTCCCTAGTTAGAAATCCTCTGAAGAGCGTAAGTAAATGTGTCAGCCAGAAGAAATGGAAGGAACCATCAACAAATTGGGGGGGAGTCAGATAAGTCAGAGTCATGATATCACTTTGTCTTTTGCCATTGCATGCTGTATTCGGGCCTCTGATTCCACTGCAAATGGAAGCAAAGTATTCTTAACAGCACAAAGACAAGAGTAGTTTTACACGGATAAGCTAGAGATTTTGGAAATAAAAGGCTGTCACATAAGCTAGATTAGTAGTTCTCAGAGAGGCTGAGAATCATCTGTGGGGTTTTCACAGGTGCAGATGCTAAATTGGCATACTAGACAGGACCATGGAAGTGCTTAATCCAATGAAGACCTTTGTTGATAGTCACCATACTAGATTATCTACCAGTGTGGAAAACCTGGTCTAGTTTAAGGAGTTTTAATTGATGAAGGTGAACAGAGTGTGATATAATGAATTGAGTGCTGAATCAGGGAACAGGTCTACTTTTACTCTGTGAACAGGCTTGTTGAATAACTTTAGCCTATTACTAGTATCACATGTCAGGCACAGTGCATGATTATGTGTATATATCAATAATTCTTTCAGTTCACAATGCTTTGTAATACAACGGTTATTCTTGCTCCTTTTTTACAGATGTGAAACCTGAAATTAGTGATCCGCCAAAGGAAATGATGAACTATGATCCCAGGTCTGTCTAACCTATACTTGTCTCCAAAGGGTAGGGCAGAGTTTCATTTCTCCCAATAGTGATATTCAGCCTCTTTAAAGCCTCTTTTAGCAAAATATTATAATAAACTATTCTCTAATAAACAGTGAGCAGTATCTGTTTGAGCAAACATTCTTGGATGAAATGAGATGAGGTAACTGAAGAAGGCATTAAAAACTATAATATTCCTTATAAATTAAGATTTATTTTCATCTTGAATGATGGCTCTTACATCATCATCCTAAAGTATAAAATAATTTTTTCTGAAAATGCTTGTTTCCTCATTTTATTACCTTCAACATTTTTCATTATTACAAAATGTTTATTTCAAAAATTTTCTCAAAATTTTTCTGACATAGCCACTGCAATTTTTCTTCAGTAGAAATGTAATATAAATTGAAATAGAGCTTTCTCTTCATTATAAAATATTTTCCCAAATTGCAGAGTAACTCAATTTTTAGTCAAAGTTGTTTAATTTTGGAAAAGCTTTTCTGAAGTCTTAACATCCAATTAGCTTTTCAAAGAGCCCTAGTATAGCACAAAAACATCATTATCCCTTACAAAAACTGTATTTTTATTTCCCTGGTAATTTTTCCTGACATACTTAGAGGTCAAGGACCCTGTGTTGCAAAATTCCGGGAGTTACTGTGTTCAAAAGATATACTGTAAATTATGCTTCCAGAAATTGGCTCATACAAGGGTTCAAATGGAACTTTCATGTATTATTTTTTTTGCTTCTTGTTAACTAATTTTAGAAGATTGGAAGTGGGGGTGTCCATGCTTTAGATCCTTCTAAAAAAGGATGAATTAACATTTGCTCTTGCTTTCTGGTAAAAACTACTCATTGAGTTAACGGCTAAAAAATTGAATTTCAATATTACCATAAATTTGAAGTGCATAATATCTCCTTGTGAAGGAGGAGTTTGGGCAAAGTATAAATAAGTAATTAAAATTGGGCTCAACTAAACAGTTTGTTGTGGAGGGAGAAGCGATCTCCTCTTCATGAATGGAAATTAAATGTTTTTGTAGAGCGCCCCAGCTATTGTGACAGTGCAAATTATATTAATAGCTAATAGAGAATTCAAAATTTTTCCAAGTTACAAAGGCTCACCCTTTTAATTGAGTTTTGTGTGATTGTCACATGAATGAAATCAAATCTAAGCATTTCTCATATTTTCTGTTGGAGCAGACATTCATTTGTTCACAATTTTCTCACTTATATCATTGGCATTCAAGCTTTTTGATGGTCAGGTTGTCAGAAAAGCTGAAAAGTGACCCAGAAACGGGCTAGTAGGAGTGAGTATGAAAACTTGCCAGTGTTATGATAGTGTTTCATAATTGGAATCTGAAAATCAGATTTTTTTAGATTGCTGATTATTCACTCATAGCTTAGCAGAAACCCAGAAATCATTGCAAGTATACCCACTCACATTGACTGTCCTCCTTTTAATACTTGTTTAGAATTTATTGCCTATGATAACTGTGATTTCCAAAGAAATATATGCATGCTTTCAAGGATATGCAAGATAATCCATTAGGTTATAGGTAATAAGGAGTAAAGCTTCTATTTACAGGTGCTTTGCATTTCATCCCTTTTAAACTTTTAAATTTTTTGAGTTTTGTTACGTATTTAACATAAATACAGTAGCAAATGTACACTACTTAAACTTTTTTAAAAATATACTGCTGTACAGGATCAAAATTTTCAGTAATAGAGATACATGTCCAATAAAGTTTATAGCTAATATCCTACAGTTCTGTGCTCATTTTGGCTCTTAAGCAATGACTGAATCTTCCTGAACTCATACGATCTTTGTGGTATTAGGTCAGCGAGGAGATTCCTCTGAGTCTTTGTTTCCTCATTATATACATTATATAAGATGTCGTGTCACTTTATCATTCTTGTAAGAAGAGTTTTTTAAGGGATAAAGTGTTACTCAAATATGTGTGGACACTTTGAGAGCAGAAAATAACTGAGTTTTGCATCCCCAGCAGTTTCGCAGTAGCTACCAAATAGATGTTTAATAAATATATGAATAAAGGAATGAATGAGTGTCTATATATCATTAACATTCTTATGGAAAAGAACAGATGTGGTTAAAAACATAAATGATTACAAGTAGAACAAAGTAATCCTTGCTCTATCACTGGTACTGTGATTTTTGAAAAACATCATTCCTTTTTGCCAAGCTCAGTTTCTTACTTAAATTGGGCATGATAATATCATTTTAATATCCTACCAATCCCACAGGGTTATTTTCAGAATAAAATGTATGTGAAATCTCTCATGACCGCTAAAGAAAACTTAATGCTAACGTTGGTTATTATTTCTTGTGGTTATATCATCTTCTTCTGCGAAATGGCACTTGATTAGAAGGGAGGGTCCTTCACTACCTTGAGCTTTTATTACATTCTCTTCGGTGTCTAATTGAGCTTTATACATAATAAGATCTTTTTAAAAAAAAAAAAAAAAAAGGCTTATTAAGGAATGGTGGCCTTATGTTTTCAAAGCTCTCCTTCCTTTTCAGCAAAAAGGTGGTAGTGTTTGAGGGGTTCCAACAAGTACCAACTTGTATAGCCTCAAGCACTTTTTATCAATTAAAAGGCAAAGCATAAACTAGAGAGGATGCTTGATTTATACCTGTCTAGGCAATCAACCTGCCACCCACAGAAGTGTTGGAAATTTGGCAGTTAATCAGCAAGGCAATTTTTGCACTTTATTCTTTACTGTTGATCCTTTGTTCCATAATGGTGCTCCTTAGTCATTTTGTCCCATAATAAAAGCTCTGTGGGCAGGAACTTATTATTTCCATACTCTACAGCATCTTCAGTAACAGGAGAGTGCCTACCAAATGCTTAGTGAATGCAGGAATTAACCCATGAAAATTAAGGATATATGTACTCATTCAAAAACTTGAGGGATTTACCCAATCATTCTTTTAATTTTGTTCAGTGAAAGTTTTCCGCAATTTCCTTCTTTTTCTGGAAAAGAGTGAAAAACTAGAGTTTATGTTGAATTATTTTCCAGTGTTTTAAACTCCTTTCTTATTCAGACTACATTGTAGTTTCTCTCCTGTGTTTGTGTGTATGCACATTTGTTTTAAATGTATATAGATAACAGACATCCTTTTGATTAAAGCCCAGTCTTATTCATGCTCCTATTTTTCTGAGAACTATAATTTTATGTTTGAGGAAAATAAAAAATGATTACTGTGTGTTTGAGCATAAATACATCCATTCTTAAAGATGTGCCTTTCGTTGGACTAATTAGGCTTTTTCCCCAAATATATAACCCAAGAAAGTATTTTACAAACAAACTAGAGAGATTATAGAATGAATTTTAAAATTTAACTATTCAAGGTAGCATTATATTTACTTTCAGAAGTTGTAAATTTGAACTTTAGAAAATAATCACATTTTATGTACTATTTAAATTTGCTTTCCCTAAGACTCAAATTTTATATGCATTTTTTCCTTATTTTCCTAAATAGCACTTTTCTGAAGCAGTTGATGATTATTATCTCAACAGGCCTTACAGAATAAGAATACTGAGATGCCAGAGTTATATTGAGTTGCTCAGTTGACCAAATAAGTTCATTTTGCTTTTCCTACCCTGCCTATCACTTGGGGTTCAGTTAATGAGGGGTAATTGTCTAAAAGACAAGGAGTAAGGCATGGGAGAGGCAAAATCTTGGGTAAAAAGAGCTAGGAAATTAGATTCCCAATAGTCAAGAGTTGATATAAAAAAGGGTCTTTTCAAAAAGAACTTCACATTATTGTCTCCTTGCCAGACTGGAGAGGTCAATTTGTTGAGATCTGTTGAGTCTTATGCAGTTGATGTAACCTGAAAGCTAGCAGCATGTAAGGGTCTGGTGACCAAGCCAAGGCATTTGGAAGCACAGACTAAGTAGAGATGAATCTTTCTTCAGTTAATTGGGATTATATTTTTCAGAGGTTTCTTAGTCTGTTGCACATTAACAGCATGTTTTAAACACATTTTGTGCTTTATAAAATTGTTTGTAATTATAGAAATTTGGGGGGGGTCACAAATTAGTTACAGGAATAAATAATGATGAAGGCTTAGTTATTGATTCATTATACCTCCTAAGAGTTCTGGAATATTTCACAGGCAGATTGATGTAGTTCAACTTTTCTTTGGATGGACAGTTAACTTGGGTTTAAGTAGAATTTAGAGTTCAGTCTGTAAATATTCACTTACTACAAAAATGCAGTGGGAATCTTTTTTTTTTAAGTGGCACATACTACTGTCATTATTAAATATATGCATATTTCCCAGAGGCCTAAGAGTGTAGTTGTGCACACACACACACACAAAAAAAATTTCAACATTCTGAAAAAAAAAAAGATTCATGCAATATTTGAATCTCAGCTACCAAAACTTAATAAATAAGTTGAATGAAGCCAAAGTAGCAGATTTCCAGATGTTCTTAATGTCACCTATCTTCATTATAACTCTTCAATTACCATTAATAAATACCTCCTTTGGTACTAGAGAGAATGAAAAAGCAAAATAGACTCCAGCACAACCAAGTGGTGCCACCATAGGCATGATGGGTACAATAATTACAGTTCTTAATGCAAGTATATACAAGGAGAACTGTATAACTCTTCGTTACCGAAAAATCACATTGATCGACTTGAGCAGTCTATAACATCCTCCGCTACATATGGGATACCTCCTTTTGGACAAATACCCTCAGTTAACTGAAGACAAATAGCTTTGAATCACCAAGGGTTTTGCATATATTGACTGTGATTGCCAAACAAGGAATTATTTACCTTGTTTGTATTTTTCCCATTGTAAGTACTTGATTAATATTTGATATACTCTATTCATTTCCTTCATTGCACTCACTGCCATGTATTTATGTTCTTATTTGTTTATTTGTCTCATACTCTAAGTGGTAAGACATTGTCTTACATATATAGGGAGGGAGATACATTTTTATTGAATTATAATGTTCATACAGGAAAGTACACATATCACTAGTGTAAAGCTCAATGAATTTTTACCAGTTGAACATATCTGTATAATTAGCATCCAAAGTAAGAGATAGAAAAACAAACAGCACCCCAGAAGATATGCATAGCATTATGTTCTTTTCCATAGGGCCTGCCCTGAAGAGAAAGTATTTTACCAGAGCGTATACTATTGGGATTTCATCCATACCTAACCTAACTGGATGAAGATAAATAACCAACCCCAGACCCCGCTGTTCCTCCTGTCCCACCTAAGGGCTTGGCAGAGAGGGAGGACTCAGAAGCAGGAGTGCGCATTCCACAGGCACAGTTTCACCTAAAGACTGAGATCTAATCACAGGACTAGAGAACTTTTCCCCTCCACCTACACCTTACCTCTACACTATTAAAGGCTTATTTACAGCAGCCTCTTTACCCGGTATATCATGTCTGCCTTTCAACAAAAAATTACATGGCATATTAAAAGTCAGAAAACACTTTTGAACAGATTCAGCAGTCATCAGAACCACAATCAGAGTGGCAGCAATGTTAGAATTGTCAGGCTAGAAAATTTTGTAAAACTAAGATTAATATGCTAAAGGCTTTAATGAAAAAAGCCGACAATATGCAAGAACAGATGGATAATGTAAGCAGAGAGATGGTTGTTTTTTTAAGATCAAAAGAAAATGTTAGAAATCCAAAACACTATGAAAACACTATGACAGAAATGAAGAATGCCTTTTTTGGGCTCATTGGTAGACCTGACAAGGCTGCAGAAACAATCTCCGAGCTTGAGGGCATGGCAATAGAAATTTCCAAAACTGAAATCAAAGGGAAAAAAGACTGAAAAAGAATTAAACAGAATATCCATGAACTGTGAGACAACTACAAAAGGCATAACATATACATAATGGAAAACTAGAAGCAAAAGAGAGAAAGGAACAAAGCATTATTTGAAGCAATAATAATTTAGAATTTCACCAAATTAATGTAAGATACACAATCTAGGAAGATTTGGAAGATCTAGGAAGCTCAAAGAACACCAAGCAGAACGAATGCCAAAACAAATATATTTAGGCATATGATATTCACACTACAGAAAATCAAAGATGAAAAATTCTTTTAAAAAATTATTTAAATTTTTAATTTTTGTGGGTACATAGAAATTTGTGGGGTATATGAGATATTTTG